AAAAAAAAAAAAAAAACCAGTTAAGAAGGCTTCTATGCAAAAAGAAGAAGGCTTCTGTGAACAGGTGACGTTTGAGCCCTGTGGATGGATGCCTGGAAGAAGAGCATTCTGGGCAGAGGGGACAGCAAGTGCAAAGGCCCCGGGGGAGAAGTGTGCTTGGCATGTTTGAGCAAGAGCAGGTTATTGAACCTTCTCTATGCTTTAGTTTCTCATCTACAAAATAAGATTGTGAATCATATCTATCACAGAGGGCTTTGTGAGGATTAAATGAGTCACTAGAGGTAAAACCCATGGGACTATTACCAGGCACATAATAAGCATTCCATAGATTAAAGCTGTTATTATTTAGGGAGGACTTCATACAATAGCTATCAAGTTGACTCTCGGCATCCATTATTCAGAGGGAAGGGGCCTCCCGATAGCATTGTGTCCCGGGGCAACACCACACCCACCTTGAACTTTGGAAGACCCTCTGTTACTCCATGTCTTGGCTGCCCGTGCTCAAACACAGGAGCAAGGTGGTTTGTGTGGCTTCCAGCAAGAACCCTGACTTGTACTGCCACTGAATGCCTGTGTGTTTTGGTTATTGCGAGGGTCCAGGATAAGTCGCTATAACACAGTGACCTAAAAATAACGGCTTCATTATGAGAGAGCTTCCTTTCTTTCTTATGTAAAAGTATAGATCGGTCATCCTCAACCGGTTGCTACCTTCTCTGAGTCTATCCCAGCTGTCCAGCACTCCAGCTGGCAAGAAGGAGGATGAGGGTGAGGACAGGCAGCTAAGAACTTGATCCAAAGTTCCACACGTCACTTCCACTCACATCCTATTGGCCAGAACGCAGTCACAGAGCCCCCGAAGCTGAAAAGGAAGCTGGAAGACATATTCTCTAGCAGGGCAGCCGTGAACCCAGCTAAAACTTGGGGAGATTATTACTAAAAGGAAGTAGGGGAGGAATTAGAACAGGGTGCAATTAGTAGACGGCCATAGGTTTGTGGGTTTTTTTAATGCTTATTCGTTTTTGAGAGACAGAGTATGAGTGGGGGAGGGGCGCGCACACACACACACACACACACACACACACACACACACAATCCGAAGCAGGTTCCAGGCTCTGAGCTGACAGCACAGAGCCCAACGCGGGACTTGAACTCAGG